CGTAACGAGGCATATAAATATGCCTCGTTACAAATTATAGTAATATAATATAATATAATATAATTATATTACTATAATATTACTATAATATAATTATAGTAATATAATATAATAAATTGTAATATATATTTATAATCATTTGGTACATATTCTACCATATAGCGCTGTCTGCTTCTAGCTTCTAGTTTCTTTTGTATCTTTATTATCATGACGTATAGCTTTTGAGATGTATTTTTCAGTAATTTCAAGCTTCAGTTAAATTTATCTAGTGTACACGTTGGGCTTCTGTTCAGAAGTTGTATTCATGTATGTGTATGCAAACGGTTCCTTTCTACATTTCTTTATTGAATCCTAAATTTATGTGTTATATTCTAAAATTTTTATAAAAGTCCTGTTTATTTCTCAGCTTTTTCATTTAATTATAATATGTGGCGATTTGTCTGACCTAATTTAGTTTTCTTCGTATTTGATCAGTTCTGAGAAAATTAATTCGGCAAAAGAAAACGAATACATTATATTCATAACTGAGTAATTAAGTGAACAAACAATATTACGTTGTATTTGCATTCAGAACGATCAGAAGCATTTTATAGTTCATCATTAGGTGTGCTACAGATTATTGTAATTGTCCACTCATGATTTTAGAAAAGTTTCATCATTAATCAATTGTACACATCTGAGGAGATTGGTTGGATAGTAAATGAAAAAACATATTATTTTATTGGAATACATGAAGTTGATTTTCTCATTTCATTTACATCTTTGGCTACAAAAACTTATTAACACTAAATTTTGTTCTCCTTAAAGTCAAACACAATTGACTTGTTATTCATTTGATATGTTAAAATATAGAGAAGTTATTCAGATGTCTCTAATGTCAAACATTTAAAATGTTTCACTCGATACGTAGCATTCATAATTTTCGATGTTATACATATAGCTCTACTTCAAAACTGAAGCTATATGGCATATAAATTTTATACTTTAACAACATAAATGTTAGCAAATTCCACTAGGTGTTAGTAATTAACGTAGTTAGTAGTAGTACCAGGAGCAATTGAATTTTTAATAAAAGAGTACACGATACCACAATAATATATATTAATAAAGAATTGTTTCTTTTCATAGATGTAATCCATTTGACGGCACCTGTGAATGTGTGCCCGGTTTCGGTGGAAGACGTTGCAATGAATGTCAAACTAACCATTGGGGCAATCCAAGTATCAAATGCTATCCTTGCAATTGCGATTTAACTGGGTCAGCTAGTCAACAATGTGACAGAGAAACAGGGATGTGCATTTGTCATAAAGGAATTGGTGGCGAGAAATGTGACCAGTGTTATCGTGGTTATTATGGAACCGCACCACAATGTAATCCATGCGGGGAATGTTTCGACAATTGGGACCTTACTTTAACTGGCCTAAGAAACAAGACAAATCTCGTTATCGAAGAAGCGTCAAGAATTCAAAAGGTTGGAACGACTGGTGTTTATAGCCAGGAATTCGATGACATGGTTGATACTTTGAATCAAGTAAAGTCGTTAATTAGTAACGCTTCCATCAGAAGCCAAGATTTAGATGAACTGAACGATCTCGCTATTGACATAAATAATAATGTATCTATGTCAAGCAAGCAATTGGAGAAGGTAAACAATCTGTTAGAGAATGTCAGTCATAGGGTCAATCTAGGAGATGCTGCTCTCAAAAACCTTAAGAACAGAACGAACAATTTGCACGAGGCTGCAGCGGAACTAAAAGAGAACGCAACTAGGCTACAAGAGGAAAATGTGCAAGGCGCTTTGAACGTTACGCAGCAAATGGCTGAACAATCCAAACAAGCAGAAAAAATGGCGAACGATACTAACAACGTTTTAGCTGACGCGGAAAGATTTCGTAAACACACGGAGAGTTTGCTGATTAAAAATAGTGCCTTTGTCGAGGATGCAGAGGAAAGGAACAAGGAATCTCTGAACAAGATAAACGATAAATTGAAGACGTTCAATAGAGTCATGCCGGAATTGAATCTAGCAATGTGTGGAGATAACGTAACAGATTGTAGCAGCATATGCGGAGGCGCTGGCTGCGGCTTCTGTGGTGGTTTATCTTGTGATGTAGGCGCGGTGACAAAAGCCAATCAAGCTTTGGATGTAGCTAAGAAGCAGGCTGCTAAAATCAAGAGTTACAAGGACGAGGCTGAACAATTACTTCGTAATGTATGTTTTCGTATTTTTTTATATTATAGTAATATCAATATATCTGCGCTAAGATCTGATATAATAGAGTTTTCCACTGTTTATAGTTTATAAACAGCTTTAGGTGCAAGCAGTGTTTAATAGAAAAATACATAAAGTAAAGAATAGTGCAAATAGAGATTGAAGAAAGTATATGATCGAAAAATAAAGAATAGCAAAAATAAGGTCTGAGGAAAACTAGAAAACGGGAAAAATTGGGAATAGTAAAAATAAGAAACGGAGAAAATCGAAAATGATACAAATAAAAAATAGTGATCGTAGAATTTACGAAAGTAAGGAATGAGGAAAATAGAGAACAAATTCATGTTGTAAGATCTCAGGAACTAGATTGTATTGTTCATCATAGTTTATGCAAAGTGTGTATCGCATGAAATACTACTGATCGCTTTCTCTGAGACTACAACAAATATCGGTTTAATTTGATTTTATCTTTCAATCGTAAGTCTTCTGCAAATTTCGAGCGGTTCAAAATAATAATAGAATTCCGGTACTATTTATTCATATTTTCATAGTTACCTTTGTTATAGAAATGATAATTACTTCATATTGAAAGTCTTTTTAAATTGATGAAAACTGACTTCAAGTCGTAGAGTCTAGAGCTTGAAACATTACATGCCTTTTAGTTTTTATTAATTTAAAAAACTTCTTAATATATGAAATATATATAGTTTATATATTATTAAATATATATATATTTCATATATACTTTACATATTTTATATATTTTATATGTTTTATATATTTATATATAAGTTCTACATTTTGTGTGGCTTAAATGTTTCATGTTTTGTCGTGTTTCAATCAGAAAAATTTGATAAATTTATTGCTGAAAGTTTGAAAATGAAAAAAAAAAAAAATAAATTAAAATGTTTTATATTTGCGTACGTATTGTCTCACAGATACATGTATTCCAACTTGGATCATGTAGCATTCTCAGCAAGCGAGCTTTTCTCAAGGGGTCTTCCCTCTATTGGTGGGAATAACATTTCTGTTTATATTATATAAATCATTTTCACTTATGTCGAATCTTCACTGTATTGGACGTTGTTTCGACCGCATATTATTTAAATTTTTATTATTTGATGCTTATCATTAAATTATACCAATTATTATTAAATAGTATTATTCCATTTAAACCTGCTATACCATAATAATTCATTATCAAAATATTCTATTACTTTTCTGTTCGTTTTCCTAGATGATCCAAGTGAAACGTGACGCTACCACGGCTAGATCGAATGCTCAAGATGCTTTCAATTTTGCGTGGAAAGCTCGCAACTTATCTGACAACGTAACAAGAGATCTTTCTGACATAAACAAAAGAATACGTAGCACGCTGGATGAAGAGCAGCCTACGCCTGCTATGGTCAGGGACTTAGCTAATGAGGTGTTAGCTAAGAACATCCAATTAAAACCTGATGAGATCAAAAGATTGGCTGATCGCATAAAAAGTATCGTTGGTTCACTAACCGATTCTGAGAAGATCCTTGCAGATACGAAGGATGATCTTTATCGAGCAGAACAGCTAAAGCATCATGCTAATAGAGCTGAGGAAGATGCGATAGAAAAACAGGAACTGGCCAATAAAGTAGTTGTTTTGCTGAATGATGCTCAAAAAGCTCAAGATTTAGCACAAGTCGCAATCAATCAAGCTGAACGGGACGTGAAGAGGTCCGAAATGGACCTAGAGGAAATCGCAGAAGTGACCAGAGGAGCTCAGATGCAGGCAAACAGTACCACGCAAACTGTGAACGCTCTAGATGGCCGTCTAAAGGTCTTACAGACCCAGTCTGTGAGGAACGATTTTGTTCTGAATCAAGAGATCGGTATTGAGGCAAGAAAAGTGGCCGATGAAGCGCAGAAAGTCGATACAAAGACGAGGAAGCTCTCTGAGGAATACAAGCGAGCTGCCGAATCACTAGGTCTTAGAGTGAATAAAAGCAAGGATAACATTCAGAGAGCAAAGAAGCTCCTGCAGAGAGCTTCAGAATTGACTGCGGACACATCGACTAAATTTAAAGATCTTGATGGTATGGAGATTGTTTACACAGATAATGAGAGGATGCTATTTGATCTAAAGTCTGAAGTTGATTCATTGACAGGAGAAATGGAAAAACATTTAGCAGAGATTGAACAGAAGGCGCAACAATATAGGCAATGTATTTCTTAAATGTCTAAAAAAACTGTCAATAAAACCTCTTTTTGTTTATCTTTAAAAAGCATCATTTTGATAAAAGAAAATTTAATGATATTTTTTTTATTTATTTCGACAAAAGAAAATTCCTTAGATGTTTTGTATTTCTGCATAAAATAATCAGGCTAAACCAGTTTGTCTTCCTTAATTGTGTTATTTTTTATTTTCTTTGTTTAAAATGCTAAATAATTGTTTGATAAAATGTTCATTTCATACGTAAGCTCACTAAAAATGTCGAAATTTAAAAGAATTCATTTACTGAAAATAAAAAATTAATAATTTTTTAGCCAATAAGAGTTTATTATCCATGCTATATATTGGTGAGTTGTAATATAAAACACAAGAATTAAAATGATATAATACTTCAAATAGAAATCAAATGGAACATTTCAAATTTTTGGATATTTAAAAAATACATCTTGTAAAATTCCGAGAAAATATAAGTTTTCTAGTGCCATATTTGCAAGAAGAGGGACCATTTGCTAATTCTATAAGAGAAAATCATAGAGTACTAATCATTTACAACATTTTTACTATAACGTTAGCTAGTCTCGGTAAAAATCAAAAATAGAAATGATTTGTAATAGGTATGAAAGTTAATATAAGAAGGAAACTTTTTGTTTAATTGAATAATAACAATCAATAATTAATAAAAACAAAGAAGTAGTAATTTTCAAAAGATAAAAAGATATTCAATACCAATCAGTTAAATGTATATTGATTAGTAGATATTTAAGTATGTAATGATTAATAATACTAGGAAAAGCACGTTTAAACGTTAGAATACAATTTGTATCCAAATGTTATGCTTACAAACATTACAAATGGAGCGATAAATGTTTTCTTAAGCTGTACATATTATATTCGACATACCATAAAAATATGCATTTAATCCTATGTATCCAAATAATATTCTCAGTGACATATTCATCAAATTATAGCTTTCTATTTGTTGATTTATTATTTCCTTTTTTATTTATCTTAATCACAGATAATAAATGGACAAAATTTGAAAGATACTGGATAATTGTTAAATACATTTCTTTAAAGAAATAAACATAAATTATCTACACATATATTTTATAACAAGAGAGAGAAAGAGACAATTAAAATAATATAATATACTATTGTAATATAATACTCTTCCCAATATTTTAAAATATTTTACAAACATTTTTGTAATCATGTTATGAAAATTGTTAACCCAGTAATGTTAACATTTTAGTATGAACAATAAACAAATGTCCAAATATTCAAGTTACTACATTTCTAAATTCCTAAACATTCGAATTTCCAAATTTTCAGATTCTCAATTTCCTACATTTCGAATTCATAAATTTCCACAATCCGACAGATGGATTTTTAGTATAATTATAATTAAATTATAATAAAATTTTTTACTATAATTATAATTAAATAAAACGATATTTGAATATAATATAATAATTGTCGGTTAAGGACTGATTCTAATTGAGAATTAACAAAACTTTATATTGAACTTAATTAATTTCGATTCTGACGGAGTAAGAATCTACATAATCCTTTCTAGTATTAACGAAAGATAAATAAACGAAAATCCGAAAATAATCAAAATAATGCCTAACAGTCTGTTTGGGCTCGTATATCTTACAATTAGAAAATCGTTGTATTGTAAATTTACACGTGCAGCACAGGAACCAGGACTTAATGACAAATAATTTATTACAGTTTGGCAAAAAAACAGCGTTTAAAAACTAAATGGCTTTAATGGCCTTCTTGTTCGTCAAGAACGCAAGAAATAATCGAATCAGGGAAGTCACCCCCATCGGCAGTCCTCCAACGAAGTTGTTAAAGCGAGTGTTTTTTTTTCGAAAATTTCTTATTACACAAGTAATAAGTAGTAATTCCCATATACTTATTTGTATTTTTCAATTTCATAATTTTTATTTAATATTACAAGTACTTTTTACACAGTACACATTATTATTTATTTCAAATTTCCTGGTGCACAAACACAGTCAATTTACGTATTGTGTGCACAGAGTAAACCAGAGACGACAATCTCTGTTGGCACCTTTATTCGAAACGCTGTGCCTTTAAATTGGTTGTGCAGACGAGCAAGAAATTTAAATCAAGCAAATCTACTTTCACGTAAAACTCTAGTAATTTGGAATGTACTTGTAATAATTTTTCTGTATATTACTAATATTGTCTTTTGAAATATTTGCATCAATTCTGAGACGGTGAAAAGTTGAAAAAGAGAAAAATATACCTAAATGATTACTCTACAAAATATATTTGAAGAATACGTATTTTGGAAATGGTTATTATACATAACTCGTAAAAGAATGAAAAACTATACAGGGTGTTCGGCTACTGGTGGGCATAATTTTAGGGGGTGGTAGCTGGAGTGATTGTGAACAACTTTTTCCTTTACCAAAATGCTGGTTAAAGCTTAGTTTTTGAATTATTAATGAAAAACACCGACCAATGAGAACGCGTATAGACCGGTCGCGCGACAGCGTGAGCGACAGCTTCGAATATGACGGCCGATCGTCGTCGTGAACAAATGTATCGATACTGTCGGTATAACGTCGGTATAACGTCCGAATAACGTCGGTATAATAGAAAGCTGTTAGATGAAAGTTACATTGAATAATAAATAAAAAAATCTGGATTATTGTTGAATTATCATTCATTCATGAACAAGAAATAACAAAATTAGTCTCTACTCACGTAATCAAAGTAAATCGAATTTATTCAATACGTTTATTCGTTATCGCAAAGAAATAATAGCTAAAATATGGAAAATTATTTTCGTTAGATATTGTAATGATGAAAAAGAACAAATTCTCATTTTTAAAAAATTGAATAACTTTTCTATTCAACAAATAAAAATGTGAATTCAGTAATTAATAAATTTAAATGTAGCTCACCCATTAAACCGCAAATAATCACAATAAAAATGCGTCTCTGTCACCGGTCCGATCCACCGGTCCTTACTGTTAATATAAATCAATCACCATACAGAAACTCTCAAAAAACTCTCAAGAAACTTCATTGTCACCTAATTATTTTCGCGGAAAATATTACCTACTCTAAATCAAAATTATAAGATAATTAATGTAAATGATAATATATATATATATATATATTATGATTACCGACTGTCGAATTTGATAGATATGGTAATAGATACCTAATGTACTGTCGATAATTGGCAACTACGGTCGATAATTGACTATTCTAATCGATGGATAGAAGATTGTCGCGATGATGCCGGTAGAAAGAAAAAAAAGTTTCCCCAGGGACGTTACACAGGTTTAAAATATTCTTTTTCGACCACAGTATTTCTACACTAACAAGGGACATCACTCAATTGATACCCGCCGATTTTTATGAAATTTTTATATGTTATGGAACTTGAAAAAATATTTGACACGTATTTCTTTTATCGGCAAACGTCCACTCTGAAGTGGTGAAAATAACCCTTAAAGTTAGGGTTGAAAAAACTATTTTCGCAAATATTTCGGGAACTATTAGGCCTAGACAAAAAATTCAAAGTGCAAATTTTTCTGTTTTAGAAGGCCAATAATATGGTGTAAGTGGATTTTTGAAAAATTGATTTGTTTAAAAAATATGTTAAAAATTAACATTATTTTGCAAATTTTTGTAATAAAACGTTATACCATTTTGATCAAATTTCACATACATAAACTATGGGTCCAGAGAAAAAATATGGATAAATTGGAATTTTTAATTTCGCTTGTGGAAAAAATATTACTGTCGTTGAAGTTATACGTACATTTTATACCTTCCGTTCGGTGCATGACTGATTTCTATACATAGTATTCTGGCAATTGTATTATATTACATTTTTTATACTAATTTATTTTAAAAAAGAACTTAAGGATCCACAGGTGCCTCTATAAAAATATGGGGTCCGAGTTAGATATCTTATTTGTTCCGCATTATGGGCGCGTATCTGTGGCAGTATTCGACGCACGGAAGATCTTAACGCGTAAATTGTACTTATGTGAAATGTAATATCTTCATAATAATGTAGTATACGAGGTGTGACACAAAAGTAACGAGACTAGTCCAATAAATCATTGTATTTTCAGAATCAGTTCTCCGTGACATTATCACCTTCAAAGTAGTCCCCTTCAGCATTCACATACTTTTGCATTCGGTGCTGCCAGTGCTGGTAACAGTTCTGGAACGAGGTTTTTGGAAGTCCCTTCAGGAGATTCTCCGTTTCTGCCTGAACCTCTTTAATTGAGGTGAAATGGGTTTCCATTAAGCAAAATTGAACTTTAGGAAATAGAAAAAAGTCGCATGGAACCAAATCAGGTGAATAAGGTGGATGCCCCATCACAGTAATATTTTTACTGGTCAGAAACTGCTTGGCAGACAGTGCCGTATGAGCGGGTACATTGTCCCGGTGCAACAGCCATCCATCGCTTCACAACTGTGGCCTTTTTTTCCTAATTTTTTCACGAAGTCTTTTTAGTAGTTCAATGTAATAGTGTTAGTTAACAGTCTGACCACTGGGAAACCACTCAATCATTACAATTCCATTAATGTCGAATTTTGATTTTGACATGCGTGCTTTTTTGGGTTTTGGGGATCCTGGAGACTTCCACTCCATTGACTGGCGCTTACTTTCTGGGTCACAGGTAAAAATCCATGTCTCATCACATATTACAAAAGAGTAACAAATTTTACAAGAAACTTGATGTTTATTCGCTGTTCGGTTTTTACGTTAGACATTTTTCCGGCAGAATGCAGTTGCACGTGCTCACTGAATAACGCAATACTTCCAAATGGTATGACCGATTTAATCGAAATTGGCAACATGGATAGAGGAGGTATGTGGGATGATGCTACAAAAACAATTGCTGCCAATTTCATTGATTTTTCAAGTTACAGACCTAGTCTCGTTACTTTTGTGTCACACCTCGTATATGCAATTAAAGGAATTGTATCTGCTGTTTAAGAATTGCCTCACAACTGTAAAATATACATATACAGGGTGTCCCGCAATTAGTGTATGTCCCGAAAAGGGGTGGTAGGTGGGGCGATTCTGAACAACTTTTTCCTTTGCCAAAATATTGGTTGAGGCTCCATTTTCGAGTTATTAGCAAAAGAACACTGACCAATGAGAGCGCGCATAGACCGGGCGCGCGATAGCGTGAGCAAAAGCTTCGAATATGACGACCGATCGTCGTCGTGAACAAACGTAACGATACCGTCGGTATAACGTCGGTATATCGTCGGTATAACAGGCAGCTATTAGGTGAAAATCGAATAATGAATTAAGAAGTTAAGAATAATTAAGTTCTTTGTAATTCGTGAATGGGAGATAAACCAATTAGTGGTTGTTTACCCAGACCAAGTATATTGTATTTATTTTACGCCTTCAAAAAGGAAAAATAATAAATTTACGAAAATTCATTCTGTCGATTATGGATTATTCTAATGAAGCAAATGAATAAATTCACGTTTCAAAACGAATGAGTACCTTCCCTACGAAATGGGATAAAACTGGAATAAAATATCTAATGCAGTACATCATTGAAGTGAAATAAATCAATTGCTGCGTACGTATAATTTTAAAAATACGGAAACATTTTAAATAAAACTTACCCATTGATTCATGAAAAAACTAGCTTCGATAAAAAATATTTGTGTCACCGGGTAGATCCACCGATCAGAGCATCAACAGCTGATGTCCTGGCAGGGTCAAATAACTCTCAATTTATTTCACTGTCTTTTTCTAATAATTGCACAACATAAGCACGACCGGTAAATGGACCGAATGAAAACGCGTGAACGATTATTCATAGATATGTATGTTTAAAGATGCGCTATATTCTCATTATAAAGTATCCGAATTGAAAAATCGAAATTATATTCTATTTTATTAGAAGACATTGTTAGACTGGCTACGGATCACGGTTTTGTTCTCGATCGCGAGGCATACGTCGCGAACGGTTGCCATGCAACGATGATCTGTTGAACAACTGCGGCGTCGA